CCCCCCAAGCAGCCGCTGGGGCCCCCCCCCCCCAGCAGCCCTGAGGGGCTGGTGGTGCCACATCTTGCTCAGCAGAAGGAATGGAGGCTGCCAGCATCTCTGGCAGGACAGTACAGGCTGCAGAGCACCAGCACTGGAGCACTGGAGAAATGTTAAATGGCCATGCCCAAATGGTGCTCCTTTGTGCCAGGGAGATGTGTCCAGAAGCACCAACGGGGTTCTAGGAAATGTTTTCCAAACTGTTGATTAATTGGCAGGAAGTCTGACTTGGAACACATGAGCCCACTTGCTACAGCCTTTGGGCCAGCTGGAAAGTTGCTGGTTTAGCTGAATAGCCAGGAGAGAGGCTCCCTCTTACACCTGTCAAGTGCCAGTGCCCCAACCAGGAGCCATTCCACCTCCAATCTCCATCCACACTGGCCTGTTTTGCAGTAACACAGTGCTGCCATCGCTGTCTACCTCCCCGCTCATCTCCATGCTCTGTTTCCTGCCTTGCTGTGCTGTTTTCTTTGCCCCCAGAGAAACATCTCATTCGGGCATGGCAGAGTGGTTCAGGCATAAAAGCCTGTCTCAAAAGTATCATTGGTCCCTAATGAGTGAGTCCCTTTTCCTCCTCTTGCTCTTGCCTCCAGCATCAGATTCATCTCCCTCAGGCTGTGGAACTGCTGCTCAAGCACAGCTCAGCTCCCTGCTCCTGCGTTGGCTCTCCCTGCTCTAGCACAGCCCTGGTGATCACGCAGGGGTAAGACAATACTGTCACAGTTGCCATTCAGCTCAGCACTTTTACAGGGAACATCTGCAAGCGCTTCTTTTTGTTCAGCACATCCTAAAGGGAATTAAAAAAAAAAAAAATTAGCAAAGGTGCAATATGTTTTTCTTTACTGTCAAGTTTAACAAGCAACAGCCATCTGAGCTTCCATCATTTTATGATGTTGGGTTCCTGCACTGGTCCCTCTGTCTTGTGAGTCCTGACTTAAATTGAACCCACCTCACTGATTCTCTGGTAAATAACGTCAGCAGGGCTGTTCCAGATCGACACCAGCCTGACTAAGACCAGAGGAGGCTGCCAAAGCCCAAAGGATGGGAACAGTTATTTTGCCAGCACCCTGGCTCAATTTGTGTCTCCGTAGGAATGCGTACACTTCCCTTTGCTTTTGCAATGGCACCAGCGTGTTGACGAACTGCAGTGCTGCTATTTATCCCTTAATTACTCCCATGACTCACATTAAAGTAACAATTTTCCATAGAAACAAACACAAGCAGAGCTGACACCACTCGAACTGCTTTTATTCTGGAACATGTTCTGTACTCTGGGTTTTGAGGGTGGCAACTCTGGAGGCTGCTCCACATTCCTGGTGCCAAGGTTTGCCAGAGTCAAGGGGAAGGAGACTCGCTGGGCACTCGCTTGCTCTGGGATGGGGAGGAAGGGCTACAGCTGCTGCACTACAGCCCGCATGGGGCTGAGGACCACTCAGCACGCTGTGATTTTAGGGGATATGAACGCTAAGCACAGCTCAGGACAGCGGGGCTCCTGGCTCTGGTAGTTCCTGGGTGTTCTTAGGATATGTTCATCTGCTGATGTTCTTGCCAGGACGCTCCCTTTGTTTGGTTTACCCGTGGGCATCTCAACCTGGGATGCTGCTCTGTGTTTTCACTTGTCTCAAGAGGCTCAATCAGGGAGAGCAACAGGATTGACATCCCTGGATCTTATCTAGGAATATTTGACCTGTTCTGTGTGTCATATTAATTCCAGGTACTACTGTTGGGTGGGATCACCCCTGGACGAGTCAGTTTCTTAAAATAACTAATGAAATAAATAACTGGCAGATCTCAACTGCATCCTTTGGGCCAGCCTGGCATCAGATTTTATGTGGGGTCCTCATGGACTTCAAATCCTCCGAAGCCCTTTCCCTGTGGTTGACCCTTGGAAAGCAGGTATGCATACAGGAGGCTGGATGGTCAGGAGGCATCTTTTTTCTTTTACAAACCTGCTTGCCTTGCCTTGGTACTAGAGTTGTCAAAAGTCACCCTAGTTCTGTTTGTCTGTGCAGCCAAGAGAAACAGGACAGAGCCAAAACTGTTTGTCTGATTTCTCTACTTGCAGCTAACATTAGATGTGCCTGGTGATGGTGTCCCAGCGTCTACTCCTACTGCAGGGCAGGAGCAGGGATCCCTCAGTCCTTAGAGCGGTAAGTCTGCCCTAAAATCATCCAACAAAGGGAACCCTCCCCAGGCAGGCACCCATGGTAAAGTGAACATGTCTACGTTGGAGGCTATTTCCTACCTCCCTATAGCCTAAGAGGAGGGAAAATGGCCACAGACTATCTCTTCCCAAGGCAGACAATTGTCATGTCCAACACAGATGTAGATACGGGAGTGCTCATACATACATACTGCATGTTTTAAGAGATTGTATGATTTGATGTAGAGCCTGTTAGGGTTGGCTGGTAACTTACTTACACTTTGTGCAGATAAAGTTGCCTCCATATTACACTTCTGTGCTCCACACACACACCCTTTAACTTTGCAAAGTGCGGTTTAAAGAAAAAAAATTTAAAAACGCAACTTTGGCTGTGCAGCCTTCCCAGGAAATGCCTCTAGAAACTGTCTGTGCAGGAGACATCTACAAAGAGAAAATGGGGGAGGGAGGCAAAGCCCAACAGACCTGGATTCTTCTCTGCAGCTTCTTCCCCTCCACTTCCTCAGGGCCGTTGGCTGTCTCTTCATTTTGCTTCCCAGGCCCCACATGTTACCAATGCCTTTCATAAGGGCTTGTCAGCCTCCCACCACGCCAGAGTCCCATCTAGTCTCTTCTCTTCTGAAGAAGAAACTTGTAAGGGCTCAGTAGCCATGACTGAAGCCAGATTTTCAAACAGGGCCAGCACTCAATGAACCGCTGGGCTTTTCTGAAAGTCTGGCTCTGAGAAAAGCCTTTATTTTCTTTTTTTTTTTTTTTTCCCGGCACACAGGAGTTGAACTAGGACTGAATCAGTAATATAAACATTAGGTTGAATAGGCTGAATATCTCTTCCCTAGAGGACTGCTCTCTTTGTCTGCCTTCTTTATCTCTGCCAAGGTGCTGATAACCAACGTGTGCCTTATGGAACACATGGTGGGACTCCCGTGGGACTGACAGAGCCCCATTCCATGGGGATTTTCAACTCAGGCTGCAGAAAGGGCTGTGAAGGAAAGAGTCGGAAGCAAGCTTTCGCTGGCAGAGACAGGGATGGAGCAATCAAACAGTTCTTCCAGCAGGCAGAGATGTATTTAGGCAGTGCAAGCCCTTGCTTTGTGCCTAAACACCTGAAGTTTCCAGGCATGAGGCCAGGGTTTCAACTTCTCCTTAAATAAGGGTGTTTTTTGTCCAGCCAGTGAGACAGAGTAAAGTGTATCAGCTCCCTGAATGTAAGGAGACCTACCTGTATGAGCAGAGAGCGGGACTTGCCCTTCTTCCCTTTCCCCAGTTCCTTTTGAATCAACTTTGAATGATGGAACTTGAGAAGCACCCACCAGAGAGGGACCAGAGCAGGAGCAGACAGGACAGGAGAGATGCCAGGTAGGGCCACGGTGTCCATCATCTCCTTTCTGTCCCACACATGACTCCTGCCACTGTTCGACTGACCACAGCACAGTGTTGTGGAGGCTGTTCCCATGGGTGCAGGGATCCATGCAGGCACAGCAGGATCACTGCAGCGAGAAAGGACAAACAGAAACAAAGGAACTAAAAAAAACCCCAATGTCTTCCTCATTAAAATCTTCCCGATTCCTATGTCCTGCCACAGGATCATTGCCTTGACTTGCCTTGCAGATTTGCCACCAGCAGATTCTGCTTTCAACACGGGACTTGAAAATATTTACCATTTTTTGAAGTGAGAAGGCAGAGAGGACTCGCTTATTCATTCTCCTTCTCCAGGTTTAACAGAGAACTTAATTTGTCTGAGATGTGAAGCACCTTCACACCTCTACCTGAACAGGACTGTTTAGTCTGACTTGAACAGTCAGACTCCAGTATCCCTTGTTACTAGGAGGCAGCCCTGCCAAGGCCCTTGTTCTCCCAGGATGCAGAAACACCTGCAAATAACATCTACCAAAGTTTTCTTTTCCTTAGAGGTTGGTGTGGGATGACACCAGCAAGTGGTTTGCGTTTTCATAGGTAGGGGTTCCAGTCTTGTTCCAGAAAAAGAGCTTAATTCCCTCTTGTATTTCTCCTGAATCGGGGACATCTCTTGAGCCCAGCAGCTTCAAAGACTTGTCCCCCGCACTCTATCATAAAAACATCTAGAAAGCAGTTTGAATTTCTTCCAGCTGGCGTCATGTTACAGAGATCCCTATCAGCACCCGGGAGGAAAGAATTAGCAAGAAAAACAAGTGTCTCTTTAAACTTCAGAAAGAAAAAGAAAATGCAAAGAAAAAGGCCATGTAAAAAGCGTAGACTTAGCCCAGTGATGTCCAAACAATGTGTTCTTTTCCTAGGGTTGTTTGAGGCAGAAAGGAGCCTAATGATTGTATTTTCTTGTGTCAGCTGGAGACTTTGAACACTAATGGCAGGACTTTATCGAAGCCAGATGCATTTGCACAGGTACTGTCTATACGACCTCACTCCCAGCCATTGGAAATGAGCACCTAATGTGAGTATTAACACAGGCAGGAGCATGTGCCTGTAGAAGCAGGGAGTCACCAGGGTAGACAAGCCAACTCACATGGAGTTTCAAAGGCATCTGCTTGGCTTTTCATGCCAGACTCCTTTTGCGCCCCTCAAGGGACTGCTTGTGACTCTCTTCCTCCAGAAAAGCATCACAGTTGCAGACTTTTCCCTTTTACCAGGACATGAAGCAGTCGGGCTCAGGGTGAGCAGTGGGAAAGCCTGGAACAGGCAGCTCCCGGAGTAGCAGAGATCTTCCCACACCCAAGGCGCTCCCCGAATCTCCGCCAGCCGGTTTTGTTGTGGTTATTGCTGAGCCGCCTCCTCTTGTGTAGCTGTCCTCCACCCCAGCCCAAGCCCTGCAGCCATCCTCGGCATCTTTCCTTTGGTACACAGACTGACTTGCTGACATGTGAACAACTCCTTCTAAAGAACAGATACCCTCCATTTCAAAGAGCAAAGTCCCTCGGGCAGCTGGGGAAAACTGGCAAAGGACAGACTGGATTTGGTTTTGCTTTGCACTCCCTGTGGTTCTTCACACGAAGAAGCCAGTGGCATGAGATGGGCCTTGGGGACCAGAAGTTGGTGCCTTTGCATGTTAGAAACCATTTCCGTTAGCAAGCCTTACAAGCACTGTCTCTGTTTCTGTATTTGTGATCCCCACAGTGCTATTTTTCTGACTTTCCCAATACTTTCTCTTCTTCCCTATTCAGTCTGCTGATGGGCCAAGCCTCTTAGCTGGCTCTCTTCAAAGGAGGGCGTTATAACATAATGCCATCACTTCTCATACTGTTCTTTTCTCCACCAAATTTTCATTACGGAAAAAAGTCTGTCAGCCATCACCTCTGCTCTTTGATGACCTTTGGTTGGTTATTGAGCTATTACTCATAATTTAATTGTCTTCACTTCTAAGTAAAAAGGTGGATGGATGGATGGATGGATAGATAGATAGATAGATAGATAGACAGACAGACAGATTGATAGATAGATAGATAGATAGATAGATAGATAGAAGGATGAAGAAGGGAGCAAGCAAGTGGTGATTACTGGCCCAAGTCAAGTTGGAAGAGGTGGGAAATTGCATCGAGCTGCACCAATTTTTACCTTCGAAGATACTGACTTGCTCTGACAATGAAACATTTCTCACTACCAGAACTCCATCTATTATTTGCTTGGGTTTAGTGGGCAGTTAAAGGAAACTCACAAGATGCAATTAAAATAAAAGTTACAGATCGATGTTTCAGCTTTTAAGAGTCAAAAAAGTGAACTTGAGCATATGTAACTTCAGAGACAAACCTAATCTTCCCCTCTTGCTGAGAAGATTCACTTAGCAACAGTGAATAGGGCTTTCTTCAATTTGCTTTATCCTGTGTGTGTTTAAGATAACCCTTTTTTTCCAGAATTTCATTTAGCTACTCATACTACAAACACAAGGACAGATGGTCACCAGATCAAACTTAATCAGCATTCTGTATGCTGGATTTTGTGCTTAGAAATTCATCTGGTTCTAGTAAAGCATAGTCTGAAACCTGCCTGATGTTTAACTCAACCACAGAACTGTATTAAATTTCTAAGCCTCCCCATCCTCACAAGAGATTGAGAAGGGAACCATCAGGCATTTTTTAAAAGGACTTTAATTATCAGAGATCAAAATTTGCTCTGTTACTGTGTCTCACTGGAGAACAGCATTTTTAACGGGGGACTGCAGCCCAGTCTTACCCATTTGTTTCTTCTTGAAGTTCATCACAGGGCTAGATCCAGCCCTGGAGGAAGAGGATGCAGTTTTGTTTACACCCCCTTACACCACGCTGAATTCAAGGTCTAGACCTTGGCAGTCCACCCTTGGTCAAGGAAATCTGAACTATTTTCCCATGGCTTCTTCTCATTCCTCTTCTTCCTCAGGCACTTCCCTTTTCTGCCTCTCATTGCTGTCAGTTGTTAGCCTAGCAGGGCTGAGCTCCACATGAGTGCCCCCATCTCAAGGAGTTGATGTTACATAGGCAGGACAAGGAACCAGCTCCCCCAGGACCGAGGCCTGCAGAGAAGAGCTTTCAGGCTTTATCAGCCTTGTAGGCTTCTACATGCCCATGAACATGCAGATATCCAGGTGCACTAAAAAACATATCAAAGCCTCCTTTGCCCTAAAGGAAGACAGGGTTTCACCATGTGTCCATAAATCCTCTGTCCTTCAAGCTGGTGTGGTGATCTTTTCGCCCTCTTCAAAAACACTCCGCTATTTTATCCTTCATGCCCCAGTCTGTTAGAGACGTGTATACCGCTGCATCGAAATTTGCTGCCTTTATTTGCATAACTGTGGCATGGGGCTGACTGGCCAGAACCCAAAAACCACTCCAAATGGCACAGAGGCGACAGCCATCTGTGTCTTTTTCACATTTGGTTTCATTGTTTTAGGATTAAATCCAACCACTGCAACCTACAGTAACTCTAGACTTCTCGAGGCTCAGAGCTTTCCATATAGCACGGTCTGTGGTTTCACTGTGGAGAAGCAAACCTGGAAAAAAACTTGTTGGACTGGATCAGAAGTATTTTAGTTAGTGCAGCAGGAGTTGCCAGTGGTGAAAATAGCACTGCTGGAGCATGAATGAACGGAGTGGTGTTTCATTCTGTGCTCGTTAGACAATTTAAGCCAAACTCAGCATTATGGTTGCGCTGGGCAGTTTGCTCTTGAGATACATTTCCATTGCCACATAATAAATATAAATGCTCTTTATAAGATACCCATGCATGGAAGGCATCTAGTGGTTGCTAAGGGTTGTTCTGATGATGTATATTCAAAGCCCTCCTGTTTGGCATTAATTAGCACAATGTACTATTTTGCAATTTCCCAGCACAGACACATCCAGATTCCTGCTAGGAATTGGAAGTGGTATCACCCCCCACCCACTCTCCACCCAAGCCAGACAGCACTGAGACAATCCCTCCCTCACATTGAGCTTCTGTCTCCCCCAGAACCCCATGGTAGGGGGTATCAGGGGCTGTGGAGGATGTAGGATTTTTTTGCATTACAAAAGCAAGCCATTTCTAACAGGCCTGAGGCTGGGATCTTCATGAAGGTCTCTCCCATGGGTCCCAAAAGCCCAGTGCCATTAGCAGAAGCTCTTGATTTGGCATGTGGGCTGGTGTATTTCTGATGTCCAGGCTGAGGATTGCTGCTTGCAGGAAGGTGATGCCCACAAGAGCTCAAATCCCTGAGGGACTGATGAGAGCTTGTGACCTACGTGCTGATTTGGACTCTTCATGTCACAGCACTGGGAGGAACTGGTGCAAGCCATTCCCTTATGTGCTTCCCATTTCTCAGGGCTTGGCTGCTCCAAGTCTACTACTGCTGCTTCTTAATGCAATACTAAGGACAATGCATAGGAGGGACTATGGAGGCTGGAATCTCCCCTTGCTAAAGACCAAGAGAAGGGGATACTTGCACTTTTTCTGCCTGTTTATCCCTGTTAGGTGTCTGAAAAGCATTTGCTGCCAGCCCCAAGCTGCAGACAGAAATAATTAAATGCTCTACCAACCAAACTGACAAAACATGAAAACTTGTGTGTTTCAGTGACATTGCATGCAACATAACACAGCTAAGCATGTAATTAGGGAAGTATCAACTTACACTCATATTCTTCTGCTGCTTATGCATCCCACTATGGGTAGGTTGCCCTGCTGTTCATGGCTTCCGAGTTCCTTGTACTGGGCAGAGAGTGCTTTTACCACTGACTTTGGTACACCGCTATCTTATGCCTTCAGTGCAAAGACTCTTTTTTGCTACTTTCTTATTAGTGGTTATACCTTGCCTCATGTAAGGACCATTGGCCTCTGAGGTCTAATGATGGAGCTGGTCGTTCTACATTAATCTCTTACACAATAGCCATCCTCTCAAGCAGGCTATATGGTGTGAAGTAGGTCCTTTCCCGCAACTAATAAAGAATTGGGACATTGTGAAGCACTGATGAGGCATGGTTACAGCCCTACAGCCAGCCCCTCTGGGTGTCCATTGCACCCACCATGGAAGACAGCCACTGCTGGAGCCTGCCTCCAGCATCACCATCCCCACAGCATCGAAGCTCCGCTGCAACTCAGCCTTTCCCAGCACCATGGTTTTTGCACGCTCTCCCCAGTGCTGTAACAGGCAAGCACCAGTTAATTTTCTTTTTTAATGCCTCCAGTCTCCCTCCAGATAAATTTATTTTTTTAACTCAGAAATACATTTGTTGCAAGTCAGATGCCAACAGCTCCCAGTGCCAAGAAGATGCAGTGCTCCTTCTGCTTGCTCTGTTTTCCTGTGAACTTTATCAGTTTTTGCTTGTTTCTCTGTGACCTTTGGAGCCCATTCAAAGTCATCTGCCTTTTGCTTTGATTTAATTTCAGTCCAGTTCATGTTGCCAGTTTATTTGTTGCCTATTTTTACACATCGCCAGCAAATCACCACCTCTTCATATTGTTTAGACAGTCATCAAATCTAGGCTTGCCAGCTCTTTTTGTTAATGGGCTAGGAGGGAGTGTTACATCGAGCTGATGTGACCAGAAAGGGACCAGAAAGCTGCTTAATTCCAGCTAACAAATCTTTAAAGCCTAATGTGGGACTTTTATGACCGGAGCAGGGTCTGGCCTATGTTATGGACCCAAGGTCCGCCTGTATGTCTGCTCTACCTCATCTTTTCGCTCATTAGCAGGGCACTAAAGCTACCACAAGCACTGGCTCCACTGTGCTGGAAATGTATCCCTCAAGTTGCGCCAGAGATTTGGCTTGTGCTGGTTCTGGGATGGAGACAGTTTTTATTGTAGAGCTGGTTTGGACCTCCTGGGTCTTCTCCTACAGCTGGTTCCAGTTATAGGCAGCCTGGGATCAATGGAAGTTGAAGGAGCCTGGTGGCTTGCAGTTCTGGTTATTCCTGCAATGTTAGCAAGAGCTAGCAAGAGCTTGAGTAGACACAGGAGCCTCAGGTGAGGTGCAGGATCCACAGACCATGTTCAGGCTCAGCTCCAGAACCACGCAGCCCACAACATGCTTCTTCCTGGAAGGCTCCACGTTTTTCATGTGTGCCTTAGGAGAGCTATATTGAGGGCCATTCGTGGTAAACGGCAGGAGTACTTTCTCCATGACTTCTGTATGTTTTTCTGCACATTTGTCTGTGTTTCTTTACAGCTCCAGGTATCCTGCTTGATGGCTCATTTAAGACCAAGATTTCCTTTGTGGGCCAGGAGTAAAATCCGAATTTCCCTCCAATACAGAGGACATTCAGAAGGGGAAGCTGACCAGAACCCAGACTCATCTGGCTACCATGGGCATCTCCCACTGCATCATTCAGGACCTGAGGTATGTACTTATTTCTTGAAGCACAGACATGGTGTACATAGCCTTAAACTATTCTGACTGCATTTTCTCTATATGAGGCACCAAGTACCTAAATAAGACAATTTAAAGAGATAAGTGCTTACTGGTTAGATGTAACTGTGATGATTTTACACGGCGCAATGGGTGTAGTGTTTTCAAAGACAGCCTGCACACTTCTTGTGCTCTCCACAGAGATTTAACTTTTATTCTTCCTCCTTTTGTTAGTTCCCTTCCCATAAATCACCAGAAGGAAAACTTGTGGCTGTTGTTCCACATGAGGTGGGGAAAGCCAGATGCAACCCTTAAACATAAAGTATCCTACAATTAAAAAATGTTAGTGTAAACAAAACCAGCCTTTTCAAGTGCCCTTCTCCCCAGAGGCATGACCTGCAAACACTAACAAAAGGGCTGGCCTGGAAAAGAAAGGCAGGAGCAGCACATTTACAGGTAGATGCTCAGGTCAGTGCAAAACCTAGTACAATCATCTCTTGCCCTGCAAACATCTGTGCCCTTGCTTAACAGCACAGGCAAGTCCAGCCCTCGAGGGAAGTGGGGGGCTGTACATAGGCTTAGCCATTTGCAGAACGAGGGCCTTATTTTGCTGTCCTGCATTCAAGCCTTGCAGTATAAAGATTGGCACAGGGTTGTGGACCACATGTGGCAGAGAATCTCATTCAAAGAGGGCTAAGCTCCACTGGGTACCCAAGAGCCCAGTGTGCCTCTCACCCTGCTGATCTGCTGCCACAAAACTGCTGGCAACTCGTGTGTTAGCAGCAGTGGGGCTGGGGGCTCCGACCCTGGCTTGTTCTGCATCACTCAGCAGCTGCACAGCCACATTCTGGGGGGACTTTTATGGTCCTCCAGGCCATCAGAGCAGCCAAACAGGCTGCGAAGGTCAGGGATTAGTCCTGGCTTGGCTTTGCTATGCTCTCTTGAGCATTACCTGAATCTCAAATGCACCATGTCTGCAGTTACGTACCTGATCCAGACTGAAGCTCGTTTGCTTGCACAGCCTTGCAACAGCCAGCTCAGTTCAAGTTCAGTAACTTAATGTTTGCCAAGGTTTTGCATTTTGGACTGAGATCTCTGCTGCTGCCATCACCCACGATGCCAAGTCAGCCCACACGTCCTCCTGCCACCCATGGAGTCACAAGCTCTGAGGCAAAGCCTGGTAATATCACATCTGGGGGGTTACAGACCCTGGAGAAGACAGACACTTACACGTTCCAGGGACCCCGGCGCAGCCAGACTGCACAGTTTACAGTGTGTTGCAGGCACTTCTCAAACTTGAAAGACTAAGAAAAAAGGCACCACCAGAACCCTGGGGCTAGAAAGAAGTCTGGGACAGGCCTGTCTCTTACTGTTCCAGTGCCCACGTGTGGCCAAGCCCTGAATCTTTTCCTCTTTTGCTTTGTTGCATCCAAGTGCTGGGCAAACTCTTTGCAAAGAAGGCAAGTGTCCTCTGCTGGCTGCAAGCAAAAAATGCATGTGGTGATACCCTGGCTAGAGACAGCACTGGAGCAGGGATGTGTTCTGTGGAGTTTGTGACCTGACCTTTTAAAAATGGACAATAAACCAACTGTGAAATGGAGCTACAAGCTGGCTGCTTGCAGCATGGGTAAAGGAAGGGGGTCAGGATCTCTATGCCTTCAGGCTGCTGGTGCAGACCAGGGTGCAGCCCTTCTCCTTCTCAGTCCCATTGCTGGGGGGTGAAGTCCAAGTGGGTCCCCCAGTACAGCCCAGGTGGAGCCTGAGATGGTGGAGGCTGGGAGGAATGTACTTTAGAAGGTGGAGGGCAGCTGCACAAGAGAGGCAGGAGACTGGAGGTGCCCAAGGCACAGGAGCAGAAGAGCTCTTCACCAGCACAAAGTACATTCTGGGTAGTGTCGGCAGAAAGGATGTAAGAGCAGGGGCCAGAATCCAGCATGCGTTTGTTCTCTGGGTTTCTGAAATAATCCCTCAGAGATCAACAGGCTTTCACATCTTTCCCCATCTGTTCTTAATCTGTTCACTTGACAGATGCCAAACCACCATACCCTGTATGGAAAAACACAAAACAAAATACAAAGCCTTATATCTCCTTCGGTTTTATTCAGAAACATTCCCCGGAGCCTGGCTCTGTTCATGCCCGGGGTGTGTGAGGAGTCCCAGGGAGGAACCTGCACCGGGGACAGATCTGCTGTCAGCAGGGGTTTCACAGCAAGGCCCAGAGAAGGGGTGGCCAGGGCACAGGAGGTATCTGATGGAGCAGCTTTGTGTTTATGCAAACTCAATGACTCAGGTTGGTGATTATCTGCTGCTGGCATCCCTCTGCTGCCAAGAAGCCTCCTCCAACATCTCAGTCCTGTTGTTCCAGACTTGCACGGCCAGGGATAGGTGGAAGATGGGCAGAGAGAAGGGAACTGCCTTGCTAAAGGTCACAGAGCAGAAGGGGGCCAAAAGGAAAACCAGCACCCTGAACCTCCCAAAGCCTCCAGTCGATTGGTCAAGCAGCCTGTTATCCCAGTGTTATCCCAAAGTTCAGCCCTGCAAAATCTGTTGAGGACGTGAGGAACAGCATATTAATGGTACCCATGAATACTTTATTTAAGGCTGAGACTCAGCGACTACAGTACTGTCATTATCAGTGCATGGACTGAACCATCTCTAATAATAAATAATACAGGATAACTCCCAGCATCTAAAATTGTTCTATCCTAAGCTGTTCCCATCCTCATCCTATCGATCAGAAGGTCTTTGTGTTTGCAACAGCTTATATAGCAAATGGACTTCAACTTTCTTCTTTCCAAATACTGAAACTGGCTCTTTTCAGGACACTGCTGTGTAATTTACAGCTCTATCACCAGCTCCTTAATAGTTGCCAGGTTCTTCGGAGTCCTTTGAAAGTGAACACAATAAAAAGATGAGAGTGGAGACTGACCACAAGTTTCACGTCTGCAGATTCCTTCCTACGTGCCTTTTTTGGTCTTTTCAGCCAGCTAATGGAAACCAATTCTGTGTCTTCAAGGCTAAATGATGAAGTTTTAGAGTTCCCCTGACTAGTAACAGCAGAGAATTGCTACAGATCTACAGCAGCCAAATGCCAGCACATCTCTACATGGAAGGGAAAGATTTCCTCTATGTGTATCATTTGCTTATCAATCCTGCCAGTCTGAAACCAGGTTTGAAACAGTGGCAGTTAAACACCAGTGCAATTTGACCATTACCCCAGGAACTGGATATTTATATATGGTTTGGATGAGCAAAAAGGAAGCTGGGACAAGCTTCAGCAGCTGTGATAGGAGAGGGAAAATGGCACTGTCTTGGGCAGTTAGCATCACAGCGTGCCCTGCTCTGTTCAAACACTGCTTTGCACCAGCCCAAGCCTATATTAATTTAATAAATTAAAACATCCTGTGCCTCCCCAGTTTGGCAGAGGTAGGATTTGGGGTGAAGGAGATCTCCTTTGCTTATTCTGCATGTTTTGCCAATATCCCCCAACTCCCTGAAATGTCAAGAGAAAAATCAACAGAGTGAAACGTAATCTCAAAGAGAAACACAATATTTTTTAAAATGTCCTCACAGCAGCAATCATAATAAAAATACAAACCTGAGGTTTGTAAAAATCTAGCAATAAAACCACAGACATCTTTACAACTCCCAGATACACAGTGCTCCCCAGCAGCAAGCACAAAACCCTCCCAGATGCTGGGGAACAGGCCTAATTGTTTTACAGCCTGCAAAAAAAAAAAAAAAAAGACCACACATGACACCAATTCACAGGTCATTACCAGTCACCATCAGGGAAGATAAAACAAAATCTCTTCATTCTTTCTCACCTAGAGACCATGGAGCAGCTGAGTGGTATGGTGGTGGAATGCTACACTTACAGGCAAGTGCGTGTTTTAGGTTCATAAGCAAGCTCAGATCTTTGTGCTGTTTCTTGGTCATTTAAAGCCCTTTTCCTTTCAAGCCAGATTATAATGCATCAGGAGCAGCATTGCCAGCAGGTCGAAGGAGGTGATCCTTCCCCTCTGCTCAGCACTGGTGAGGCCGCACCTGGAGTTCTGAGCTCCCCAGTACAAGAAAGCCACGAACTAAATGGAGAGAGTCCAATGAAAAGCCACTAAAATCATGAAGCGGCTGGAGCATCTCTCCTACAAGGAAAGGCTAGGAGAGCTGGGTTTTGTCAGCCTGCAAAAAAAAAAAAAAAAAGGCCACACATGACACCAATTCACAGGTCATTACCAGTCACCATCAGGGAAGATAAAACAAAATCTCTTCATTCTTTCTCACCTAGAGACCATGGAGCAGCTGAGTGGTATGGTGGTGGAATGCTACACTTACAGGCAAGTGCGTGTTTTAGGTTCATAAGCAAGCTCAGATCTTTGTGCTGTTTCTTGGTCATTTAAAGCCCTTTTCCTTTCAAGCCAGATTATAGGCATCTGTACTTCCCCAGCTAACAGCAAGTGTGTTCTGGTCCATGGGAATAGAGATCATCTCTTTTAAAATGTGATGCAGGCCCTCAGGCAATGCCGCTCAGCTTCCCAGTGTGTTCTGGCAGGTTAGTTAATATTTTCATGCCGTGAATCTCCCATCAGCAAAAGGAATCTTGTATTTCTCCCACTCTTTCTCCAAGAAGGTTTAAAGCTCTTCATGTGAGCACTGCTTATTATGAGAAGGCAATGGAGGACTGTGGCAGCAGAGGGCTGGTTGTGTGCAAGGTGATCAGGCTCACCTTAGTATGGAGCGGGATTATAAAGCACAGAGTGCAGTTGGTGGGGGACTTTCTGGACCCCCTGCAATTGTTTAGCCTACTACTTTTTTACATGCTTGACTTCAGTTGCAGTCACAGCTGGGATTTTGAATTGCCTGTATTGCTGAGGGAGGCAGGCATCAGCTTGCTGAGATGATGGTATTGATTCCGCTATTGACAACTGCCATGACTTGTCTCTTCCTCTGTCTGCTGTGGGAATGAACCCATTTGGTAGCAATGATGGGAAATTACTCAGAGAAAAAAAAAAAAATTCAATGCAAGCTAGGCTAAAAAGTTCAGAGTTAACACAGCCTCAACCTAGTACTGTATAACTGTCAAGTCACATTGCAGTAGGTTTCTTGATGCTGATAATTTAACAATTCTTTGGCCCAAGGGTACATCTCTCACTGCAAATCTGCTTCTCCAGAGCCACTTTATCACTGACCTGAAAGGAAGCAATCATGGCTTGTGTGTAAATGTATGTGATGAGCACTAGTGCATGGCAATAGCTACAGCACATCTAGCTGGTCTGACAAAACCGACAAGGTTCTGTACGTGTGTTTTGCTCCTTGAACACAGAGGTCACTGGCCTTTTTCCTGATGATCTCTGATAGAATGCAGTAGGCAGAGCCCAAACATACATATATAAAGCTGTCAGTGATTACTTGTACACTTAGACTAGATTTTTATTTTATTTTTTTGTAAAAGCTGTAAAAACCAAAAGAAAATGCAGATGTCACAGGTCATCCTTTGCACTAGAAAAATGTTTCTTCTTTTCCTCTTATTTCTAGGTTATTCACAACTTGTCAATTGACTTTTGTGGACTGATTGTCTTAAGTTTAGCTGCCTAGTTGAAGAGTTTTTTGAAAGCTGTTCTGGGCCTTAATGACACGCTTTCTGATCATAGTGGAAACCTTACTCCTCAGGTTCCCGGGAAAGGCCCGTTGCATACTTGAAAGGTGGGAACTGCTTTTGCCCGTGTTAGGACACATACAATCGCAGAATTCTGGGTAACATCCATCTATTAATTAATGCTGAAAAATAACGGATTTTCTAAGAATCTGGTTGGTAAAGTGGAGATAAGGGAGCTGATTGAGTAAGGGGCTGATGCCTTCTCCCGGCCAGCAATTCTAGCAGTGTTTTACATTCAGGGAGTAGGTCAATTCACTTGCATATTTAATGGATGAGATAAAGGCTGCTTGCACTAAATTAGCTTTCTGGGCAATGTAGGAGACCAGGGATGCAGAATCCTTCTGGCTGCCTGCTGCTGCGGGGAGCTGCCTGCGTGTTCTTCCAGAGCGCGGCCTGGCAGATCTGTTTGCAGATGATGCTCTCCTGTACTAAAACCAAACGCTGATGCTCCTGAGCATCCTGCTATCAAGCAGATGATTGCTAAGGCAATGCAGGCCAATGTGCCACTTTGGGAGACAGCTGACCACGCTCTGCTCAGCGCCGTTTCATTAGTGGTAAGCCAAGCTGCAGCGGAGGTACAAGAAGGATCTCTGTTGTCCCTCCCTCCATGTGTAGAGATGGCATGTGCAGCTCACAGCTCCCACCTTTTGCTCCTCCAGCCCCACAGGTCAGGCCAGATTAGGCTTCTCCTAGATCCTGACCCGCTTTCCCCAGTTCTGCTCTGCAATAGATGGCTGAGCCTCAGTTTCAGCACTTGTCATCAGATGTTACTCGTTCTGCAGCAGGAGGCTTCCTCTTGCACCAGGAACCCCGCTGGCCTAAGTGTTGTGCAAACAAAGGAAAAACAATAACTAAAAACAGTCTCTGCCTTCAGGAGCTGACAGCATCTCTCTTATTTCTCCCAGCCACTGTAAATAAATCTTTGGTAATGTCACTGTTCTTCAAAGGACGATAAAAGGAACTGTCGTCACTCCCTGACACTGACTGTTCCTGCCATTCACTAAGCTTTCCCCTCCTTCTCCCATGCAGGGAGAAGTTTGTTAAAAATTAGATCTCATTTGATGACTGCTAATTATCTTAGAAGCTGTTGGTAAGATGCAGTGAAAGGACTAAAGACATTGCCCAAGAACAGCCCTGCGGGAGGAACACCAGCTTGGCCAGCTTCACTGAGTGGAATTAGGCCTTGGGTATTTTAACTGATGCTTCTTCAATAGATTGTCTGATAGCAGAGGTACTAAATAAGGATTAGTACAGAAATATTTCTATATACACACTTATGTACATTTGGTTCTGATTTTTAAAATCTCCCCTTTTGGAACAGGGAGGGATCACATCACGCTTTAGATTTTAACATTTTGGTTGAATTTCATCCTGGTTCTTGTTCCCTACTCTGCCCCAAGCTCTGAGAAAGCTTCTGCCCAATAACCCTCCCCTTGTCCTACCCTCAGCCCACTGCTGTCGAGAGCAGAAGACTCATTGAAGAACCTGTGGGCTGTTTGCTTGAAAGGAGAGACAGCCACTCCAGCACCATCTCCTTCCCGAGGTGAATGTGAAGCTAATCCCAGATTCTCATCTCAGCCACACTGATCTAATTAATAGTAACTCTTTTGGCTTTATAGGGTGGAGGATGTCTGGATTTAGATCTGCATTACCGGAAACAAACCCTGCCCAGCTGTGGATGTTGATATTACAGATGCACAGCAAAGAGAAACAGCATCCATGTGCAGTGACACAGGAGAGGTGATGAACCTTTTCTGCTTCCAGCTCTGCAGTCCACTGCTGCCTCCTGTCCCTGTAATCTGTGCTCCTTAACAAAACAAAGCAAGTAAAAGAAAATAAGGAGAGAGAGGCACCTTAAAAGCCAGCAAGAGTGGGAAGATGCACTGCCTCTGATGTCCTAGAAAATCTCTGTCCCTGCTCCTAGTAGAGCCTGGAGAGCAAACCCAGGAGTAGAGAAAGCAGAGGGTAGGAGGCAGATCGCCTGAGACAAAACACAGGACAGGATCAGCCTTGCCCTAACCTCTCCCTAATATCTTCCTGCACTTATGTCCCATTAACAAATTAGCACAGGTTTTTTAAAATACACATGGTCCCTACCACAAGTAGACACCAATTTCCAGTTATCCCCCTACCTGGGCCCTCTCTCTGTCCCCAGGCAGCACAGTGAGGAGGGGAAGAGCCAGAGCTGGTGCTGGCAGGCGGGTGCTGCTCCTGCTGCTCTCGGTGCTGCTGGGAGCCCTCCTTCTTCCACAGGCATCACACCGTCTGCCCGGGCTTTGCAGACGCTTGATTTATTTCTATATATAAACTTTGGAGATGTTTCGTGCAAGGGACATGGCACATTTCCAATGCAGCCAGGCCAGCCCGCGGAGGGCACGCAGGGCAGCGCGGCAGGGGATCAGAGCAGTTCTTCAGCTGGTGCAGGGACAGGCTGGCCAACCTGCAACTCTCTGCTTAGCAACAAGGTCCTGGCAATCCGTGCAGCTGATTGCATCCTGTCAAATCCACCCGTGCAAGGAGTTCCCTGCTCTGCAGAGCTTGGCCATATGGCTGAAGAATAAGCCGTGAAGGGGACAGAGGTCTTTGAACCGAAGTCCAGGACTCGGAGGTCCTCAGATCTGGAGTCTGCTTGCTGGAATTTCTGCCTGATCTTGTCAAATCATGGGAGTCAAGAAATCTGGATTTTTATCTCCGTTTCCCCATGGATTTTTCTGTCTGACCCTGGGGTGCTTGCTTAGAGCCGGTCTTTGAAGTGATGTCTGCCTTTTCACAGAAAGCTGTAACTGCAGGAGCACTGATAGTCACACTAGAGATAAAACCCACAGGCAACGTAGGGCCTTAAGGACTGCTGCACGTCATCTCATAGCTTTTTGGGATCTCTGATTTTGGTGGAGCATAAACAATGTGAGATTTTACTGTAAAATGCTCCTACCTCAGAGCCCTGTGTTTTATGACCTGGGGGTTTGAATTCCTGGGGAAAAACCCCTTGGCCATCCCCGACACTCAGGAGTTGTGATCGGGGCCAGAGCTTCCTCCAGCCCAGCCCTCTGCAAAGAGGAGTCACTGAGCTATAATTAACTGTATTACACAGCACCCTCCTTTTTCAGGATTTTTAAAGAGCTTTGCAGCTATTAATGACACATAATTACCATGCTCACAGCACCCTGCAAGACAAAGGTATTCCCATTTTGAACACAAAGAAACTGGAGCAGCTCAGTGGGCGCTCACCTGGCGAGGGGCAGCGGATGCTACTGCTGAAGCAGAGCAGCCTTTTAAAGGGTGACAAATTGGGGGTGACATTTTCAGACTGAAACTTCACAGAATCAAAAACTTCAGAGAAACCCGGGGGACATGGGGCGGAAAAAAAAAAAAAAGATGCTTAGGACTGTTTCAGTTTTAGTTCTGAATGAATGTATTTTCATCCCTTTGTTTCCAACACATTTTCCTCACATGGGTTACAGGGGTCTATTTCTGTTGTATGAATGTCACATCTTAAGGCCAGTTAATAAAAAAAGCACTTTCTTTCCAACAACACAGCTGGGGTTTTCTCCTTCATCTGTGTTGGGCTATTAGGGATCCATATTGAATTTAACATCCTTCTGTCTTTCCTGCCAGGATGATTCAAATGGCAAATGCCTTTCTTTTTTGGCACAGGTCCTACCTGAATCAGCTTCTCAGACTAGCTCATCACTTAACGGGATCCTAAATTAAGAGTCTACATTTTGTATAAAACACTGGATGGATCTGAGATAAAATGGAAGGAAAAGCATGAACAGGAGAGGGCTTGTTCTCTGGGTCTATGTCTTCCTGACATTGTGCACTGGTTCTTGAGCTTGGCCTTGCTTTGGGCAGCTGAGGACAGAGATGTCCCATGGAGGGATGGGCAGGGAGCTGCCAGCACTGCTGGTGTGTCCTGGGCTGGAAGGGTGCCATGGGGACACTGCTCACACCCACCCCACAGCAGTGGGACACAGCAGCCTGCTCCTTCCCGCTGCAGGGCCTGTCTCCATCACTGGAGAACCTCCTGCACCAGCCTTTTCACTTTCAAATGTCCATTTAAAATGGTTCTTCTTTGGTTTTAGCTTTGACTAAGAATTAATAAGCTTTCTTAAAAATGTTTCCCTCCAGGCTACTGTTGCACTTCATTTTCCCCGGATTCAGGAGCCACAAGATGTGAAGCACGTGTAGATCATTCTCCGTTTCTTCACACACAACAGAATCACATGGAAGGTATGTAGATCCACCAGTTTGCAGCTTAATGTTGAATTTCATATTGATTAAGGCCTGAAACAATTACCTGTGTTTGATATAATACTTGTTTTTCTTTAGAAAATTACTATTTCTAACATTTAGAAACTTTAATCAGCTTTTTCTGTTGGCTGCTTACAAAGTCAGTTTTCTATCTCCTAAGTCCCCTGTAATGAAGTATTTTCTTTCCATTGCAAGCCCTGTGTGCAAATCTGCGTGCAAGAGGAATCATTTTAGGCTCTTCCTATGTGTGCCACCCACAGGGGCAATGTCCTGGTCGTGGGCAAATCCCCGATTGCCCCTAACTGTCCTGGGCTCATTGGGTGTGCGGGAATTCCTGTGTGTGTCTGCCGGCGCGCACACTGCTCCTCTGATGGGCCGTGCATCTGCCAGACATACAGTCCCGTGCCAGGGACAGTGCCACGGGGTGTCACCTCACACAGAAACGACGCTGCAGGGCTTGGTGTGTGTGCGGGGATGGAGGGGCTGCCGAAATCCCACCCCTGGCAGCTCGCTCTGCTGGGCCCTGCTGCTGGTTTGGGAGGGGTTGAGGGGAAATTCACACCCGTGGGCCATGAACTGTTTGGGCACAGGGAGACACGCGTGACACAGTGCCAACAGCACTAACATTCCCCCTCCTGTTTTTGGGTTTTTTTTCCCTACACATCCACGTTGTCATGGACCTTTGGCGTGTGTGCAACTTCTGGTCATGGGTGTTGTTTCCAGCACCCCCAATTCCTTTGTGCAGATGTGTGTGCATGCACACTGCTTCATGACACGTGTGTGCTGCTCCATACACGCAGAGACACACACCCCTTGTGCACCTTTCCACCTACCCACCACCAAGCGCGGCCTTTGCGTGGTGCTGCTTGGGCACCCGCAGGCACTTACCGCTCCCCGCGCCACATACGTGGGCGCCCCTACATACATGTGCGCTGCTCCGCACCCCTACATACATGTGCGCCGCTCCCCGCACATACACGCACACACCTGTGCGCGCGCGCGCGGGGCGTGCGCACGCGCCCCCCCCTCCCTTCCCAGATGGGCGGGGCCAAGGCCGCGGCCGCTGACAGCGCTGACCCCCGTTGCCATAGCGACGGGCCGGGCTGCCGCAGCCGCACC